TAATGTAAAAAATCGCGGAACCTTTGTTAACAATCAATGCCACAAACATAATATTTCTATCTATTTCGGTTTGAAAAATACAGATTTATTTCCATACTTAATTTAAACACTGTTTAGTATATCAATTATAAATAGTAACATATCAGTCAACAACTTACTCTATGTCTAAGTACTCTGACCACACTACTGGTGTAGGAATGTTATGTGAAATGTTTTTGGAAGGAAAATATACATTTTCCGCGGACACATTTGTTCGCCGTATCTAACAAAAATTATTGTTTTAAAACAATGTGGGTAACACTGAATTTTTCTGTGCTAAATACAGTTACTATATCAAAACTACTTTTTCCAACACACCGTTTTTTATAGATATTGTTGTGGTTCAGAAAACGTACTCATCTAAAGGTCTGAAACCGAATGATCCCTAATCTAGTTTGGCCCATCAAGATCCAAATAAGACAGGCCAAAGGCTTGCCAACATACGGCAGACCTACCGTGGGTTTGCATTCGATCACGCGCTTCAATCGTTTGTGCTAATTATTAGTTTGACTTCGCTGATATAATACCGTTATCATTGTCAAATTGCTGTGTGAATACGTGAAATTTTCACGTGTGGATTATTACGGCGAATATATAGACGGAAGCTATACAAAATTTAACGGAACAAAAGCGAGAGGCAGCAGAGCGTAGAGTACGCTGCACGCAACAATTGCCTTCCGTTCTCCCGCGCTCGCGTACGTTTAGCTTCAACTCCCGCGCTTATGCCCACCTTCTCTCCATCTGAGCGCCTTTACCGTTGATTTTGTTACTTTGGCGTAGATAGATATCTCAATAGTTCGTTTGAGGTATGTTCAAACCCTGCCACCAACTAAAACCCCACCAGAGATTCGCTGACCAGAGGATTACTTTTCAAATGAGGAGGGCTTTCAAAATTTTTCAATTTTGTTATTCTTTTAACCGTTAGGCTGTGGCCACACGGGCGTTTTTTTCACGCACAAACGCAGCGTGAAAACACGCGAAAAATTAGAGTAGCATTGAAACAAATAGGCGACCGCTAATGCGGGAAAACACACTGCATGTGGCATACCTCATTACATTTAATGCTGCTCATATTTCTTGCGTTTTTTCACACTGCGTTCTTGCTTGAAAAAACGCCCGTGTGGCCGTAGCCTTAATGCAAGTTCAAAATCAAAGATACAAGCACATATAGTCACCCGTGGCTATTCTTATTACAAAGGTATTTACAGCTAAGTATTTAACGCTTAGCCCTCCATTTCTCGTCATACCGAAATGTTTTAAATAAAGCTTCAAATCGTTTACATAACAAAACTTTTTTGTACATTTTATCCAGCTGTGATTGTAACTTTTTACCAAATTATTTGATGAAAACCATATACATAAACAAAACTAAAAGATCTCCCTTCCATATAGCTCAATCCAAGACAATAAAACAATGCATTTCAGCGAGTGCCATATAGTATGAACACTGGGAAATCGGATGGAGGGCAATAATTAATTGACTTAATGATTCATAGTTTGAATTCAGCTGTACAGCCACATGGCTCGTCTGTCTCTTCAATTTATGTAACATGCACATCCACCCCAGTCTAATGTAGTTTTTCTAATCTAGTCTAACGTAGTAAACTGCTGGTGTTTTCTTTAAATGGTTTTATCAGATTGTATATACTATATTAGTTATATTTAGAAGTTTGTAGTTAAGTTGATTTGTTGTAATTGAATAAAGACAAATACCATGTATTTGTTTGTATTTTATTCATGGGGAATAAAAATGTATTCCATTTTTTTATAACATAAGCACAATTTATATCTTTTCAGAAAGTATGACTCAATTGGTAAAGGAATGAAAAGTCAAGTCAACTTTAAATGCAAAGACTATAGGTATTGCATAAAATAGGAATTTTAAAATCTTATTGATCTCGTTTTTGTCAGCTCTGTGCATAAGTGCAATCGACAGCCAAGCGCTTGAAAATGTAACTAAAATAACATAGCGTAGTTACCTGTATTCAATTGTTTTATTTTCATAAATGTACCACTTATTGCAGTTTTTATGTTTGAAGCTAATTTTGGTCTCATTAATGGTTGAGGAAATAATTGTTAAGGCTATGATGGAATTATTAGCCGCGCGACATTGCAAGGGTTTAGCATCTGCGGTACCCCAGACATGGCTAATGTTTTAATACCATTACTAACACTATTTAATAAATTATGTATACGTCTAATGGGAAGCAAGATGATGTAGGGATAGAGCGCGGGCCTTCCAAGATTCGGGTTCAAATTTCGCCAAACACCAATAGCGGAACGTTTTGTTTAGCTATGTGATCCACGAGCCTCTATGCCTAGTTCGATGTAATGCTTATAACGGGTTCGGACTAGAGCTCAGCTTTCAAGGTTGTAAAGGTGGGACATTGACAAAAAAAGTAAAAAAAACACCCCCGCCGCAGCAAACCTGCAAAATAAGCAAATCCCCACTAACCTCACAGGATTTTCACTAAATTATTCCCTTAAAATTGTTGAATTTATTTTCCATTAAAATAACTTTAATTTTTGTGAGTACTTAGGCTTGCTGCTACATGGTAATAAAGTAAGTAGTAGTATACTAAGTGTGCCTTTTAGTGAAATGTTAATACCATAGTATGAAATACACCAATTCACCAAATATTATCAAATATATTCATTTAAACAATCAAACTACAGTTTACTTATTCTCCATAAGAATAACATACACATTTTAAATTATTTTTTATCTTCCTTGTAAGCTATCAACCGTACAAAAATACTTCAATATGCAACTTTTTAGCTTCACAAAATAGGCTACCGATAAATTGGGAAATTCTATTTTGAGGGTCAAAAATGAGAAAAACAGTTCCACGCCATAAAACGCAGTTCGCTTAGTCCGATCATGCTGGTTCCCGAACTCATTCGAATATATAGGTTTATACGTTTGTATCGAATTTAAGCGAAATCTGATCAGTTTTACTCGAGTTGTGCTCGCGAAATCAACTCATACCATATTCACATATAAGGTAATATACAGGGTGATTTATATAAGTGTGCCAGCCATTTTATTCGAACATTATAAGAGATATCAAAAAAGTTAAAGGGTAAGTGCCTTGGTTTTTTACTAAACAAATTGTAGTCAAGTCGAACAAAATATTTTAGCCGCCATTTTTCCAATATGGCCGCCAACTTTGATTTTTCTTATGAAACACCCTGTATTTTATGATGTATATTAAAGATAATAATGGTTAAAGTTTTGAACTTTCGGCATGAGAAAGAGTTTTGATAAAGGCCTAAGCAAGCATGCCAGCTGTTTTATTCGAAAACTATTCGAAATTTCACAATTTAAATTATTATTATTTTTGAAACGGTTAGGTTTATGACAAAAATAACAAGTATAAAATCGTCTTAAAATTATATTTTCTACCTGAATACATCATAAAATACAGGGTGTTCCATAAGAAAAATCAAAGTTGGTGGCCATATTGAAAAAATGGTTGCTAATATAATTTTTTTGACTTGACTACAATTTTTAAAATATAAAATCCAAGGCACTTACCATTTAACTTTTTTTTGATATCTCTTATGGTCTTCGAATAAAACGGCTGGCACACTTATATCAATCACTCTGTATATGAATTTCAACGGATGGTGTTTGTCCTCTGGGACATTAACGCAAGAAACGTAATCCAACCGCTAAACAATAGAGGCCGTTGCATTTTATATCATGTATTAAAGTTGTAATAGCTATGGTTTTAAAATATTTTTAGTCTTGGAAAGGAACGGGATTCTATTTCCAAGCTCATTCGGCCTTTGGCCAGCAACTAATGTCATTAGTGCGGTGCAGGTATTTAGTTGAAACCAACTTCTTAGACCTTTCAAATAAATATGAATATGGATGCAGAAACTATGGGGTTACACTCTTGTGTTTGTCCCTAAAGATAGATCCAAAGATGAAATCCCTAACCAGTTTTTAAAGTATTTAATTTTTAAAGTATTTTAGGGGTATAAAATATAGTCCATTTAAATGTTGCCAAAGACCAAAGTTGGAAGTAATTCAGCAAATGTTTTCCAAACGCCATTGGCTGACCTCGACTTTTGAACTGCCAATTTCATCTTGACCAACTCTGTTTTATTATTTTGGTCTAGAATAATACAATAATTTGAATGACAATAGGTTTGAATAAAATAACTAAATAATATACGTAATATTCGTCTCACTAATAAACCCATGATCAAAGTACTGTAGGGATTAAATATAACAACATTCGTGACATTGGGTTATTTAAAATATACTTATATGCACAAAAATTGCATTTTAACCAATGTATTTTTATAAAATAGTACCAGGGGACCGAGCCATTGCTTGGCATAGAAACTTGCGTTATCATTATAACTAATTTGGCTTTTATTATTTAAGTTTCAGTAGAATTTATATTTATTATAATAGAAATTTTAACTTGGCAATCCAACAAACTAATTTATTTTAATCTTACACATTTCTTACGTCGTTAATAAATAAAATGAATGTTAAAAATTAAAAGAAGTATTTTTTTATTAGTTCTTATAATAGGCATTATTTATTGTGTAGAAGTAGTCAATAAGTCACTAGGTACGGTGATAAGATGCCACAGCAGATATGAAAACATTGATGTCCATGCTGTTTGCCATGTAACAGTTATCGAATGAGTGCAAACTTTGCTGAAGGAAGGAGAAGTTGGCCTGAAACTTGATATTCTTGGAAATCTTGATATAATCAGCAAACGACAAACACTGAGAGTTAATACAATCCACAATACCGTGACAAAAATATTTTAAAGCCCTGATAATATTTGTTTACTTAACAGAAGCCGGAACCCGGGCCCACTACAAGAATGAGTCCCAGCAGTGATGGACAATTTAGCATGTATAATATAATACATCCATCTACCAGCTATGATGGACAAGCACAATTAATTACAATAGAACAACAGTAGCAAAAATTTATAAATAATATGACAAAAAATCCATCTTCTTTGTTGCAAGGCATTTTTATTCACTTCGAGTCAAATATTTCCAATCAGCAATAATCGAAACTCAGTTTGACTTCATTGGTTATGATATTGGCACTGCGCAAAGTTACAATTATATTGTTACACTTCATCACATATTAGTAGGTTAATATCCTAATAGCAAATATCTAGGCATAGCATTATAGTATATAAATACGTTTTCCTCAATAGTAGATTATGTAAAGACCCAGCCCTGCCAAAAACGTTTGGAACAGTTACAAACAATGGAACGCCTCTGACGAAACCAAAGCCACGCACACCCAAATGGCAGCTCATTTGTAGATCAATGGGACTTTCACCATTACAATTGGATCAGCTGGTTTAAAGAGATAACAATTAAAGACGGTGCCCAATGAAAGGCGTGATTGCGTATGCTGGTGATTCGGATGTTCCACCCATTGCATTACTTTTGTGTGAGGCACGTGCTTCAGGTTAGCATTTCCACTAAGTAAATCAAATAGGCATAACAGATTTATGTGTATCGAATTTTTCCATAACAAGTTACTAGGTTTATTATTATGTAATTGGGCGATCGAGTAAAAACTATGATAATCAATTTTACTTGCTCATGTTAGGACAGACAATAACTTATCCCCCTGAAAACATTAATGAAATCAGATACAGGGTTAGTAGAAGGTTTGATGAGGCAAATTTTAACGTTTTCAGATTCCACATTTCTAAAGAAACTTTGCTTGATGTATTCAGTTCAGACGATATGAATCTAAAATACAATTTATTCATCGACAAAGTAAAATACTATTTCGACATATCCTTCCCAAAATTGACAAAGAAGATCATAAATAAAATAATAGGAAAACTACCCTTAGCCCTCAAGCGTTGAATATTAGGAGTGAGCTATGGCAGTCTTTACCACAGAATCTAGATCAAGGGATCTAGAGTCAACTCATTTCATGCGTGAATATTACAGAAGGCTAAAATATCGCTATCGTTCTGTTATAAGAGAAGAAAAATCTAATGATATATTACGCAAAATCCAGTCAGCTGATAATAAATAAAAAATGATTTGGCAAATTATTAACAGCAGAAGGCCAATGAAGAATAATAAATTTGATGATATGTGTATTAGAGACATTGATGGAGAACTAACCCACGAACCCTTAAACATTGCCAACAAATTCAATGAATACTTTGTGAAGTACAATGATAAATCAGTAAAAACATGTAGAAAACATGTAAAAACAGCCAAAGGAATCTTTTTTCTTCCACCCTACATATGAGAAAGAAATAATTAATAAGTTAGTCATAGCAACCCTGAAAAACAAAAACTCAGCTGGAGTTGAATTTGATGAAATAATATCATTTAGAATGTTAAAGAATATCACTGACTTACTGGCAGAACCCATCAGCCACCTCATAATTTTTTCCTTTTCTTCTGGTTGTTTTCCCGACTCACTAAAGCTTGCAATAGTCAGACCAGTATTTAAAAAATGTGACTCTAAAGATCTCGACAACTATCGGCCAATACAAATTTCGACAGCTATATCTAAAGTATTTGAAAAAGTAGTATTATTGCGCCTAACAAAATTTATAGAAAAACATGAAATAATTAGTTAATCCCTACATGGCTTTGTAAAAGATAAATCTACCACCAGTGTGGTAGATAAATAAATAAATCGACTACAGATGCTATATTTTTGTTATTGACCTCAGTTCATAACAAGATTGATCGCATGGAAGATTTATTTGCTTTGTTTTATGAGGTGAGCTTTAAGGCTTTTGATTGCCTTATTCATAGCCTGTTTTAATTAATTAATAATGTTTGGTATAAAAAACCAACCATTAGATTGGATTAAGTCATTTCTGAAGGACAGATCACAGGTGGTAGTGGTATATAAAAAAGGAATGACCATATGTAATAGAGAGACTGACCGTGGTTTGCTGCCTGGCTCGTAGGCTGAGGAATGTGGTAGAATAGGATGTTTTTTTGAAGGTGTATTACGGGTGTTTCCATAGCATTCTCAGTTATGGAGTTGCATTTTGTGGAGGATGTTGAAAGGCCAACAGAGTTTTTCTTTAAAAATAAAAAATCATAAGAATGATTTGCATAGTTCATTACCTGGAGCATTGTAGGCCTTTATTTCAAGATCTCAAAGTATTGACTCTTACATCTGTTATCATTCTGGAATCTTCTTTATTAGTATTGAAATTTCCTGAAATATTCAAGAGGAACAAAGAAGTACGTAGTTACAACACAAGAAGTAAACACAATGTGCACCTAAACAGTCATAGGACTACTTTGATTCAACCAGGAGTTCAATACTTGGCCGGTAAAGTTTTTAATAGATTACCAGATGAAATAAGAAGTTGTTCTGGACAGAAGACATTTAAGAAAAAACTGAAGACATATTTAACGGAAAAGACCTATTACTCAATGGATGAATTCTGGAAAGATGAAGACATGACGTAAGCCTAATATCCAATCCAAAATGACGACCACTGCTGAAATGCTACAAGTGGGATACCTTCAAGTATGCAAGTAAGTAAGTAATCAATTTTCTATCCTTATGGAAAAGAATTTAACGATTTAAGACTATTTCAAATGTTAGCTCCGTCTAGTTAATGTGGTTCATGTATAGACTCTAGTATGCATTTGTTTTACCATTTAACCAATTTAAAAGTGTTTTGACTGAATAAAACTGAACATATTTATTTATAAACCATTGTTGGTCCAATGGTATTGTAAGGAACGAGCAAAACACAAATCATTAAGTGTACACCAAAATTAGAGTAAAACATTTTATCAACAATAGTGATCAAATTTTACCTACATGAACCTCATATAAAAACAAGCTTTAGATTTAATAATATGATAAGAAGTTTACTGTTCAAAGTAAACTATATATTTTAAATTTGTGTTCTTAATATTTCGGTACGTATTTCATTTCTAGTAACGACTCAGAAGATTTCTCAAAGGCATGTTATTTTGCCTTTATTTTTCTATATTTCGAGTTTTGATTAAATATTTTCTAACATATCCTTATTTTTCTTCTGGTTCATATTTCTGTTTTTCCATCAATAAAGTGATCTCGAACTAAGTAAGTGTTTATTCTCAAGTGTGTTAGTGATGGCGAAGTGTCGCTAGGCCGCGCCGCGCTCTCAAGGCGCTAGGCAACTTGTGTGACGACTTCTGTACCTAAATTGCGTCTTGCGCCGTGATACTTTCTTATGCAGCTATACTGGTTCTGGTAGAAGGCATGCGATTCAGCCTCTTTGCAGGACTCTAGTTCATTTGAAAATAAAAATAAAAATGTATTTCCTAAAAAGTTCTATTAATTTATATGATGTAATGTATGTATATGTTATTGAAATAATTGCAATTGTTTCGTAATTTGTTTAGTAACAAAAACACTAATATTAATAGAGTTTTGTATTTTACAAACAATTAGGTGGCGGATTTAAATGGTAGGTCCTATTTATATTTTACTCACTTACTAGATCAAATTTAGTATTTTTTAATTTCGATAGGCCGTGAATTAGATAATACAAATCAGAAAACTGTAAATGTCTTAAAACGTCATAAGAACTTAAGTCAACTTACGGGAAATTATTGAAACTCAATTTCTAAGTCAATTTGAGCGTGACGAAAACGTATTTATTAATGGAAAATAAATTATTGCCCATAGTGCGACAAAAAAGTCGTCTAAATAGATCTGCCCAATATGTTATTTATTAATTTGTATTTTCTAACGGAATAGCCACTTTACAATAAGAAAATTGCATTGTCAATAAGAAAGAGAAAATTAAAACAAGCGATAGTTAACAATTATAAATATTATTTACAATTATAAATCAAAGGTAGGCTATATCAAACAATGTTATGTCATAATAAAATATACGAAACGAAACCTTAAGTTATCTAAATTTTTGTTAATAGTGTTTTGTATTGTATCACAAAATAAAATGGCCTAGTATGGTTGCTGATACTTAGCATTATCCAACAAAATAAGGAAATCTACAAAAAACACTGAGTTTATGGTTGTACAGCTACGTGAATAGATATACTACGAGAGCTTTTTTATATACTATGTTTTAGAAGATTTGCATGTAGAATTAAGAAAGAATGTTGACAAAGTCCATACTGCAGTACATTTTTAGTAACTTTATTAAGAATGAATATCGATTCACGCGTTTAATACTAATTTTTATAAGAATACGAAATTTATAAGAACTTAAATCCCCTTTCGATGAAATACGTTTTCCATCCTAAATGTATGTTTGGTGTATATTCTATATACTTATATCTACTTTGAAATAATCTGTTATTGCTTTAAATTATAGTTGTACTATTATGGTTAACTATTGTAAGAAACTATTATTATTATAGTTTTTATTTCACTCGAAAATGTTTAGGTAAATTTATAGCCATTATTTTATCATTGATCGAAAAACCAATATTTTGCAAACTACAAGTAATCTATGGACAGCCACTGAAAATTTTGAAAAGGGCATACGCAATTAAATTTAAGACTTGCCAAATATATCAAATCAAAATATGTTTTTAATTAAAAAACTACAATTTGTACACAGTATTAGAATTACGAAAAAATAGTCCCTCTTAGGCCATGCAAAACCTTGAAAGATATACAGGGTGAACAATTTAATTGTGCCTCCATTGGTATCTCAAAACCTATTAGAATTAGAGAAATTCATTAAATTGAGAACTTCGACTATTTTCTTATGACATTAAAAAGATAAATTCCACTTTTCAAAAGTTGCCACCATTTTCTGATATGGTAGCTAGTTTCGAAACTGTAATGGAACACTTCGTTTTTATGATTGTTTCAGAAAGTAAATGTCATTTAAAAAGTGTTTATAATTTACATTTTTGCTCAGAAGTCACTTGTTCAGGAGTTACAACGTGGTACGCCTGGGAAACAGTGGCTTGCTGTGTACATTTTACATCCTTCAGCTCCTAAGCGACAATGTTTGGAGAGTAAATAAGTGTTTAAGATGCATTACACACTATATTAACCCATCTCAGATTAAAGAACCTTGGAACATTCAGGATCCATGTTTTTAGCCACTGAGCTTTTGAACATAATTTCAACGCAATTTTGCCAGACAGCTCAAAATCATGTCTTTGTATCATCTGTAATTTAGTTTTACACCGACCTTTGAAAATTTATTTTCTATATAAATAAGAAAATACTAAGCTCCTCCGACACCGGCCATCGTCCGTAGAAAAAATAAATTATTGGCTAAAAATTTGAAAATAGTAAACCTCAACTTGAAACGTAGTGTCGGACGGAATAACCTCGGATTTTTCAAGAACAGTAGGGAATGACTATAAGGAATGATATATGGAATGGTTATAAGTCTCCTTGACGCCAGGTAGCTACAGGTAGCCGGAACTAGCCGGGGGTGATAGTCCACTGACAGTCTCAGTTTCGCAACCGCCGCGCCGCGCCGTCCCATGACTCATGGTGGGAGAGGGGTGCGGGGCGAATCACTGAGCCGCCATTCACTGACCCCGCAGTACTCGGACCTCTGCCTTTTTCCCGGAAATGGGAAACAATAGCACGGCATCCGGCTCCATACGGGCGCCAAGGCCATCGTCCTGTCAGAGAGTGCGGGGAGTCCGAGGGTCCAGTAGGCCAGCTCCCGTACCGTCGTCCGGGCCATGAACAGCCGGTGATTGGTCAAGATGATAAGGAGGACTTACTTTCCCAGTATGGTGCAGGCTATCACTGTTCTTACCGTGCTCAAGATGCTTACCAACGGTAAGTACCACCTTCTGTAGGTTTAAAGTCGAGTTGTAGAGATTGTGTAAAGCGCGAGTGTCGGGTGGTGCCGCGGGTATCTCAGGGGCAGCGGCGGTGGAGACCGGGTCGTCGGCTCTTGGACGTCTAGACTGAGTCAAGGAAGAGAAGGAAGAGGCGGCCTTGGGAGCTGAGAGGGGAGCCTGGACTCTTCCCCTCCCTCGCCACCTCAGACGCGTCTCTTACTCTACTATAAATACTTAAAGTGAATTAGTATTGCTCTAGTAAAATTGCAAACAAAGAGGTTTGATACTTTTGATGCATTTAATACGTGATTAATGAAATATCTAACAATGTTTTAGTTAACAATTTACTTGTGAAAATCCTGGGTATTAAATAGCACATTCGTGGCTATAAGTAATATTTTGTTAAAATTAGCTAAATAAGTGGGTTAAACAATATTGTAAAATAGTATAACACATAAATAGCTAATTATAATTTTCTAATTAAAACAAGCGCTTTATTATTTTTCACTCATAAAAATGACAAAAAGTTCACAATTTATAGAGTAAATATTAATGTAAGTAATTGTCTTCGTAATAAATTAATATTGTTACGATGTATTTAATTATACGTTGTATAAATTAAATGCAATCATTATACAAATTTCACTTATAGCTAATTATTTTAAAATATTACTTCTTAAATAAATAAATTACATGAGAAGGTTCTTCGTGTGTTCCGCAAGTTCTCCACTAACATCTTGGCTTTTCAAGCGTGTTAGTTTTTAAATTAAATAAATGTAATTTTAAATAAACCTTAACAAGCCAATTGGCGAAAAATGTTTAACAAATAAAACAACTTCTTATGGATGTAAATAAAAGGCCTTTGGACATCGGTGACAAAAAAAAATATGACTCGTCATAAAATTGAGGTAAATAAAAAGGGATAAACAGATTTAATGAGTACATACACATCAAAACTATACGTATAACATCATTCAAGAGAATTCGGTATTTCGAAAATAATTTAGCTACGACAATAATTTATCAATGAGTTTATAGTATGCAAATGTAATAGGAGGTTCTATCATTGGTAACATGCAATGATAAATAAATATTATGCTGTCAGACTACACAAAATCGTGCATAAATCAAAACACTTTCTTTCACTGGAATGTTTTGCGGCACTGCAAAAACTTAAGAAGTTCATTATTCAATATGACTTAAATAAATTAATATTAAATATCAGAATATAGAACCATGCAAACGTCTTTAATATACAAATTACAATATTTTACTACATTTATAGGAATGTTGTCGCAACCCCCTCCGTCCGCACTACATTTCCTTCGTCCGTGCGTCTTTCCCAACTTATGATACATCCTATGTAAAAATAAAATTAAAATATAGATAAACAAGTCTTGTTTTCAACACATAATATTTTTAGGTTTTGGTCAAATAAAAGACTGAACCGTTGGCAAATTTTTATTATTGAAATTATAATTTCTCAGTATTGTGTTTTGTTTATTAGCTGCTATGGACATTGTTTGAAATTTCTTATGTGACAAAGTAATTATGGTCTAAAATATGGTATTGATTTTCCCTTTTAACTGTGTTGTTTACGAGTATGAAATTCCTTTATGGAAAAATTGCGATTTAATATTTTATGAGTTTTATCAATTTAAGACTTAAGTCTTAAAGCAGTCATAATTTGTTCAGTTAATTAATTTAAGTCGCGAGGAAATAAGTACGTTTGCATTGGTTTTACAATGCAGCTTTTAAGCTTTCTAAAATTTTGCTCTGTTTAAAAAACTATAATTTTAAGCTACGCAGGTACTAATTTTTAAGCTGTCTCAATTTTAAACCACACAGTCATAAAGTATCCTCTACTGTTTTACTACGTTAGTAAAATCAACGATATTTACTATTTATTACAAATCAGCAAAATTGATAAATATCTTGGTGACTATGTCTCGACAAAGTAGCTACAGTTATATGGTTATGCAATTCCAAGGTATATTAATTAAATGTATATTTCTTCGATTGTTATTTAAATATGTTTAACTCGTCAATATGACGACTCTCTCTCTACTTGTACTAGCTCAAGAATATAGATTATGGTTTATTTTTATTTTTAACGTTAATCCTTATACTTAAATGAGTTTTGCTCAATCATGAATTATAAGCTGCATTGTGTTTTGTAGCCGTAAAATATTTAAAAAAGCTGGATTCTCATTACTTGTAAAAAACAGAAAACTTATTGAACGCGTAGTTGTTTTTTTAGAAAATATCCGCAGATTTAAGTGCTGAACCTATTTCCGTTGCCTAGGTCATTTAATCATTTAATTATCATTTAATCGGAAGCCAAAACACCATTCGTCTACATTGATAGTTGAAAATCAAATAAAAAAAATTCATTCCAAAAAAGAAAAATAATAAAAAATATATATATCTCGAAGTATCAGAAATCTTAAATATGCATATGCGTAGTTCTTTAATTTTGGTGAAATAAAAAACTAACCAGAAAAAAAACAGAATCAATTTTTTCTGCCTCAATGCAACCTAAAAACAGACGTTTTATTATATTTTTTTTTATTTACACCTATTCGGTATTAAAAGTTATATTAAAAGATCTACATGCGGTACGTATCCTCCCATGCTAACATTATGTATGGTAAATTAAATCCTGTAAATTGCTGTTTTATTTCTGGACATTGAACACACTGGACGTTTTGTAAACTACTTTTTAAAATGTAAGTTGTATTAAATGTAATCAAAGCAGTACGGTATGTTTTCATTTCACGAAGCAACAAACCGTAATACTATTTATGCAAATATTTTTATATTAGGCATGTATGACAGAGCAAATATGCTAAATAGTTTTTGCAATCTTAACTTGAAATTCGCTTGGTATGTAGGTTTGCAGTGATAAGGTTATTGTTGCATAATGCATATATAACATATACGAAGAACTTGGAATAAAAATACGGCCTTCTTACAAATCTAATTCTTGATCATTGAACTACTACGAGTCTTAAACGTAAAGCTTGTACAGATTTGTGTAAAGACATACTAAACTTTATTCGTTCAACGGATGTTACAAATTGAATGGCGATTACAGTGTTAGATAAAAATACTAATTGAATGTTACAACAAATACTTGCTTAGCATTCCTTCCTTATATGAACCACATCTATTTACTTTTTAATTGTTAAATATATTTTTTACTCTTTTAAATTGATAAATTAGTCTAACTATAAATAATTTAATATCATATAATTGCACAACAAGCTATCGTATAAGTGTTATAGGTACAATTAATTATAAGTGTAATGTTCTTAGTGAGATTGTTGTCAAAAGAAGGCATGCGTTCATAAAATACCGATTATAACAAAGTGAATTTGTTTTTAAACATACTTTTCTCCCCAATATTTTATACTTGTGTCATTTATATTGAAATAACATAATATAACACTACTTGTTTTATAAACTTTATTTGTTATAAAAAGTGTCTTTAAATAAAATGTTAACTATCGTTGTTGAAAAAATACCACTTATTTGAGTATAAGGTTTAAATAACTAACTTCAAGTAATCATAAGTTGTCATAAGTATACTATCCATTCTTGCAAAAATACTGCCTAAACAATCCTGGTTTGGCCTTAATACTACCTAAACAATCCGTTGGCCATAATACTACCTACTACCTAAACAATTCTAGTTTGCATAATGAAAAACCTCAGACCAGCAATTGTGGTAGTATTAGCTATCATTGTATTTTTTTTAGTAAAAATAACCACTGTATTTTATTTATTTCAAATGCTTAGCCTACTTATAGCTAGGTTAAACCCATAACATAATAGACGTCTCAGCTTTCTCCTTAGAACATTTAATTCATTTTATAATTTGAATTCTTCAAAAGCTTTTTATTTTTTTATTTTGTAGAGGTCAAAAAAGTACAGTACTGAAAAAATGATCGTAGCTCAAGCGAAAATGTACAGGAAAACATCATGACCACAGTAATTTTTTGTATTTGAATGTGAAAAGTTCATAAATATTAATATTGTTTAAAGTAATTATAAAAGTCAACAATTTTCTTGTCAATATCGTAGAGTACAGTTGAGATAACAATGAAAGGGTGGATGTATTAGAAACTGGAATGAAATTGCATTTTAAATGACACTATCAATGTCTCAATTATTTAGTATAAGGTGGCTAGAAATTATTATTTTTTTTTTTTCAGTTGAGTCAATTCGGTCATTTCAGTTTCAAAGTCATTTTGGGCTTGTGTCCTTGAGAATGATAAAATTAAAGATAGCATTATAGCTATGTTAAGTAATAAAATAAGAGAAAAATAAAACATAAAAACTGGTCGATATCGTTTACTTTCTAATTGTAAACTAAAAACTAAGTGAAAATTAATCGTACAGAAGAAAAAACAGAACAGAATAATGAACTAATTGTGTATGTTATTTTAGTGAATTGCCCCCTAAACTATTTTAAGCCTAATTGTTACGGAGAATAAATTAATAAACTGTTGTAGTTTGTTATCTTATTTTAGATATATTTAAATATAGTTCGGCAAATTCCTTTATTTCAAACGAAACTATCAACATTTCAATAAAAAACACAACTTTTTACCTTCCCTGTAACAGCAAACCTAATTGCTAATTAAAATGTATTTATTTAATTAGAATATAAATCTGACATTGTAAGGCAATATCTTTGTGGTAATCCAGCCAGGTAAAATTAAATTCGCTTAGTTTGCAGGTTTGCTGCAGTGGGGGTATTTATTTATTTGATTGTATTTTCTTAATATTTTCCTAAGGACTTGTGGTATTTCTTCATGGGAGTTGTATTTCATTTCACGTGGAAGGTGACTGGACTTGGTACCGAAGGCAGAGAGCGTACGGAAGATATCTTATTCAATTCTACTCTGGTGTTACTCGAAAACACTTGTAACTGTTAAGTAATCTTTTTCTAACACTGATAACTATAATATCATCGTCTATGACCTTTGC